TGAATAAATCATGCGAAATCATGTACAAAGAGCAGGCGGGCTGTGGCACTCACCTTCATCGCCCGGCGTGCAGGGCACGGGAGAGAACTCGCCGTAACAGTTCCGCTGCCAGTCCGTTAACCCTCTGGCCGCCGTTAACCCCCTTGTCGTCGCCTCACGCGCGCCTGTCTCCGGAGTCCTCATGTCGCTGCGGTGAGCAGTGTGTGCACGCGCGCTCTTGTTGGTGAGTCCCGAGCCACGCGCTCTTCTGCCGCCTGTGGAGGGAGCGAGCGGCAAGAGCGGGCTGTCTTCCTCACCCTCTTCTTCCTCTTCCTCTCCTCCTCCTCCCTCCTCTCTCGCCCTCCTGGCGTTAGTGGACACCCTCCCCCCATTCCCCCCGCCCTCGTCTGTCACACTATGTGAGTGGGAGGGTAGACAGTTCGGCGCTTTCAACTCCACATCTCCGAGAACACTTTCTCCTCCCTCTCCCCTCCCCTCTCCCCTCCCCTCTCCATTTCCTTATCTCTCCTCCTTCTTTCCTTATCTCTCCTCCCTCTCCCCTCCTATCCCTCCCCTCTCTATCCCTCCCTCCCCCTCCCCACACATGGTCTGTCACTTCCTCCATGTCTCTGACGTCCCCAAAGTCGGACCCCTGGTGTCGTGAGCGGCCCAGCAGCGTGAAGGAATCCCCGCCCCCCGCCTCACCCACGCCCTGCACCACAAGACGGGAACCTACAGACGTACTGGCCACGTTTTCCCGCGCGCACCTCCATGGCGCGTTCTCTGGGTCACCGGACGGCGCGCTCCCGCCCACACTGTTGTTGTTACTGTTGTTGTTGTTGTTGCTGCTTCTGTTGTCACCGGAGTCCTTCATGACCACTCCCGCACGCCCCTTCATCCAGGAACCACCGACGTGCGTCTGCTCACAGCTCACCCTTGCTGACGTCACAGCCCCTCCCGCCCCCCGCTGCAGCACGCCCCCCGTCCTGACACCACGCCCCGCAATACCGCCACCATTATTGTTGTTGTTGTTGTCTCCCAACACGTTAAGAAGAACCCGCTCACCACCAGCACCATCACCTCCTCCTCCTTGTCTCCCTTCACCTCCTCCTCCTTGTCTCCCTTCACCTCCTCCCCCTCCGCCCGTGGACAAACTCGGAGGTGTGAACTCCCTGAAGAAGGCCTCCCCTCCCCCGCCCGGTCTCCCGGCTCCCCCAGGGAGCGGCTTCCTGTCTGTGTAGTCTTCCACGATCACCGGGCCACAGGGGGGGTGGGCACACTGGAGACTGCGGGGAGGGGGCAGGTCGGGGGGAGGGAGGA